GGGCGGGGGGCTCTTGCTGGGCGCCTGGCGCGGGCGGCGGGAGCAGCGGGGAGCGGGAAAGGGCCCGGCGGCGGGGAAGCTGTGGGAACGCGGTGACAACCGAATGGAAGTGGAAATAGGCACAGCGTTAGTCTCGCTGGCAAAAGACTTCAAACAGAACCGCAGGAGTGAGAATTAAAGCGTGGAATCAAGGAAAGAGCAGCCCAGGCAATCTTACTTTTTCTTTTCTGCCTCTGCTTTTTCCTAGATATACTGTAACAGTAAGCTAGAAAAACAGCTTATTTCTGTCTCGGGTGTGAGACAAAGTTGAGGAGAGATTAAATGTACATGGCATGGCTGCTTAGGCTCAAAGCAGCTGGCTAAAGTGGGCAGATGACATTTGATTGTGACTCGGATGATTTCATAGAGGAACTCAAATATGTATGAATTGCGAGGGGCTAGATCTGTCTATACTTGCTATAAAGGAAAACATACTAAGTGCTCCTGTTCAGGAAAGATTCTTACAACATGTTACGACTGTACAATCATGTACATGATTTGGCAACAAATCAAGGAAATTTGGGGATATTATATAAAGAAGTCTTCCAAAACTAAAGGAAGGTGAAAATGAGACTAGGCAGAATATTAAAAAGATATAAGTGCAGGGATGATGAATCTGCATTCTCCCCATGTGTTCATAGAGCCTATGTTGTCTTTAAGATCTTTCAGTATTCTCAGTCAGCCCAGATCAACTAAGGTTAGTAGAGTCTTGCCAGTGGCAGTTTGATCAGTTAAATTGTCACTCAAGCAAACAGGGAATATTGTGGCAGAGAAAGATCATGGAAAGATGCAACCCACAGATAGCTAGTTATTATGAGAATACAGTGTAGAATCTGGGTAGCTCCATATTTCATTATCATTGTTCTGTTTTGATTTGCAGCGTGAATGCCTATCTATCCACGTTGGTCAGGCTGGTGTTCAGATTGGCAATGCATGCTGGGAATTGTATTGTCTTGAACATGGGATCCAGCCTGATGGTCATATGCCTAGTGATAAAACTACGGGAAGTGGAGATGATTCTTTTAATACCTTCTTCAGTGAGACAGGAGCTGGTAAACATGTTCCCAGAGCAGTGTTTGTGGACCTAGAGCCAACCGTAGTTGGTATGTACCCAACATTAAAGATCTTCAGTGTGAAAGTGAAAATCCCCTACAAATACTCTGTGGTCTTTTTCGTGTGTTCAGAACACTTAAGACTTTAAAAAGATGTGTGTCTGGATGCCATTTTGACATTCAAGGTTACTGTTATTTGAAAGCAGTGAAATAAGGGTCTACAGGTAACAACATCTGGAAAACAACAGAATTTTTTTACAGATAATATTTCTAGACTGCTGCTCTGCATCCAGAGTTTTGTTTAATTGCTATCTGGAATCTTGTCTGTACCTGTAATGTCATTTGCTGAGTCACTTCTCTGTTCTCAGATACAGTTACTGCTTTGTGAGTGCCTGATGTTTTCCCCTCAACAAAGGGGCTGAAGTTGTGCCAACTTTTTAGGCTAGTCAGACAAACTGCATATAGTCAGTGATGCTGTCTACATTCTTCTGACACTGGCGCCTAGTGTTTAGTCAGTCACTAGGCAGTGCGTACAGAAATGATCAGATAAAATTTATGTTGTATTTTGTTTCTTTATAGATGAAGTACGTACAGGCACTTATAGGCAGTTATTCCATCCTGAGCAGCTCATTACTGGGAAAGAAGATGCAGCCAATAATTATGCCAGAGGCCATTACACCATTGGAAAAGAGATTGTTGATCTAGTGCTAGACCGCATTCGCAAACTGGTAAGAATTCATGCTGTAAGTCAATATTTAAAATAATCAATACAGCTCTATAGCTGTACAGCTGCTATAATGATGGGTTGCTGTATTTTTTCCTCTAAGAATTTTGTGCATAGTTGATTCTTTAAAACAAAACTTTTATTCTACTGGCAACCCCCAGTTAAATAAAAATTCAGTCAGTAATACTTAAATTTTTTTTTTAGGCTCTGAAATACCATTATTTGAAAGTATTTTCAGGATACCTCAGAAACGTCAGTTTGAATCATGCCATTACGTGTCATGCAAAATATTTCTAGTACCCCGAACCTCAGGTTTTGGTTGAATGCTTAGCAATATGAATTACTTCTGTAGGTTTGGTTTGTTGTGTTTTTTTTTAATCTTGACATTGCATTATGAGAAACTCACGTAGGATGGTATGATTCAAAGTTAAATAGTGATTGTCTACTTAAAATGACAAAAATAAAATTAAAAAAACCCAACTTGTTTTCAACATCTAATTGATACTTGCTGAAAGCTGGAATGGGAACATGAACAGATTCTAAAGCTGTAACCCAGCTGTGATTAATAGTAACCTGTCAGAGTGCTGCACACGCTGCTCTTGCTTGCAGTAGTATTAAAATGGTATCAAAGACAATAAAACAACTTTTAAATATTAAAATACTCCTATTCAGAAAAAGTTATGCAGAGGCACTGGTACTTTTGAGTAAAAGGCACGCAAGAAAAAAAAGGAAGACCCACCTTTCAAGAATGTTTTTTTATTATAAGAAGACTAGCTCTGTCTCAGCTGAAAACCAGGACACCATCTAAAACTAAAAAACTTAAGAAAGAAATGGTTTTGAATGATTTAGTACTGCTTTCTCCAAAATAATAACTTTTTTTTTCTCTCACTTTTTTTCCACCCCATTACAGGCAGATCTGTGCACAGGGCTGCAAGGTTTCCTTATCTTTCATAGTTTTGGAGGAGGCACTGGTTCAGGGTTTGCATCTCTGCTCATGGAAAGGCTCTCTGTTGACTACGGCAAAAAATCTAAACTAGAGTTTGCAATTTATCCAGCACCACAAGTTTCCACTGCTGTAGTGGAACCTTACAACTCAATTCTAACTACCCACACAACATTAGAGCATTCAGACTGTGCCTTCATGGTAGATAATGAAGCCATTTATGATATATGTCGTCGTAACCTTGACATTGAACGTCCTACTTACACCAATTTAAACCGATTAATTGGGCAAATAGTTTCATCCATCACAGCTTCGCTGCGTTTTGATGGAGCCCTCAATGTAGATCTGACAGAATTTCAAACTAACCTTGTTCCATACCCACGAATCCATTTCCCCCTGGTAACATATGCCCCTGTCATCTCTGCTGAAAAAGCGTATCATGAGCAGTTATCTGTGGCTGAAATTACCAGTGCTTGCTTTGAACCAGCGAACCAGATGGTAAAATGCGACCCTCGCCATGGCAAATACATGGCCTGCTGTATGTTATACAGAGGTGATGTTGTGCCCAAAGATGTCAATGCAGCTATTGCTACTATCAAGACTAAACGTACCATTCAATTTGTGGATTGGTGCCCAACTGGATTCAAGGTATTTGCACAGCTTTTTAAGTGCTTGATGTTTGCATTATTAGGAATTATAGTATTTAGAGGTAACTTATTCTGTAATGTTGTGTTGTCCCTGTTAAATATTTTGGTGACGTGCAAAATAACAGTAAGCTATTTTATTTGTTCATAACTGCGGTGATTTTTAATTGTTAATAGAATTAAGTCTTTAAGCCTTAGCACTCGTAAGGAAAGTTTTCATTTGTTTTCTTGAAGGTGGGAATTAACTATCAGCCTCCAACTGCGGTGCCAGGTGGTGACCTTGCAAAGGTGCAGCGGGCTGTATGTATGCTGAGTAATACAACTGCTATCGCTGAAGCATGGGCTCGCCTCGACCACAAATTTGATCTTATGTATGCTAAGCGTGCCTTTGTACATTGGTATGTTGGGGAAGGAATGGAGGAAGGAGAATTTTCTGAAGCCCGGGAAGATCTTGCTGCCCTTGAGAAAGATTATGAAGAAGTTGGTGTAGACTCAGTAGAAGCAGAAGCTGAAGAAGGAGATGAGTATTTAGAAAACTGAAGTCTGGAAAAATTTATTAAAAAAAAAATTGCAGAACCCCGTTCACTTGTTTGATTGTTTTCAAATAAAGTTTTAAAGGTTCTACCTTCTGTTTTTTTCTTCTTTACTATTTATGTGTATACTCACTAAGGACAGACCATTTGAAATTGGAGATTTTGTTAGTATCTAGTCATCTGCAAATTATATAAGAAATCAGGAAATTGTGTGCACTTCCCCATGATCCCAACATGTTCTGAGACATACTTTATGATTTTTGGTTTCTCACAAGCAGAAAACTGCTTCTGCTTCAAGTTGTTGTAGTACTAATAACTTACTATTCCAAGCCTGTGGACACAACACAAAGGAACCTAATCTTTCCTACAGACATGTTCCCAGTAAGGCTGGCTTCATGCTAAAAATCTCCGAACTAAGTTAACGGAGTAATACTGTACTCAAGGAATTTACCTAAGTAGTTATGGCAATTGCTGTTACACTTTTGAACGAAACTAGCATTTATCACCAGATTACTTGCTAATGACATAGAACTTCCTACTTTGAAAGAAAAAGGGAAGGAGGTGACATTATGAAGAGGAAAAAGTAAAATTTTTCAACCAGCAAGCCCCCCCCCGAATTTCATTCAGATAAAAGGAAGCTAAAAGAGCAGATCTGTTACATGCTTTAAAAGAGCACTGTAATTTTCATTTTACATTCCTACATTGCCCTAGTGAAAAAAAAAAAAATTCTAATGTCAAAATTCTAAACAATATGTGCAAATGAATATAGCTTTATAGACACATGGAAACAGTTAAATTGTAGGACACAGCTCAGGTAAAAGCTAGTAGTCCACTCACGATCTTAAATTCTTTTAGTCCTGAATCCTGAAAGAGAAAAAAACTTCAGAGTTTTGTTTTGTGGTTTGTTGGTTTTTTTTTCCTTCCCTACCCCTTCCATAAAACCAGAGGGGAGAAAAAGGCTTACAAATGCTAAAGATAGAACTGAATCATTCCCAAAGAACCTGTAACTAGTATCTGTAGAGCATACTGTGTATGCGCAATTTATCGTGTTCTAAAGAAAGAATTGCTGTATTTAAAACCGAAAATGCCTTTGTTTTTGCACCCAGATCACATTGGCCACAGGGCTGCTTGGGCAGCTGCTCCATCGCTGAGCCGTGCT